AGGAGAGAAAAAAATCCTTAAGGGCCACGGCGTCGACTGGATAATGCTGCTGAAGGCGAGAATAAAAACGTAAAGCTCCTTTTCCAGGCGTGGGCGAACGTCAGGAATAAGGCATCAATCCCGGCAAAAATAAGGGTTGAAACAGGTCGGTTCTCCGTCCTGATCGATGAGCCCATTCGGATACTGATCACGGTGCGGCGAACACGCAGGGCGTGAAGCAGCATCTACGTTGCTACGGCGGCCAACGCCTATCTAGACACAATTTCCGACCATCCTCGGACCTCACCGAAAAAAAAAAATAATTGAAAACTAAATAAACAAATAAAAATAAACAGCTGCGAGGAATGGAGACAACGCGAAAGGAACTTCCTGGCTTAAAAAAAACGGAAAGAGTTTCCTCAATTATGATGATGATAGATTCTCAAGACGAGTGAGATCTTCAGGTTTCTATTTCAGGGATGTGTACACAGATGCTTTGTGGGTGGCGGCGCTGATCGAAATTGGGATTGTTGGCTTTTTCGTGCGATGCGTAGTCTTCGTTCCCGTACTCACACCGGAAACACAAAAAAAATATCTTCGAAGCGTTTTGAATCGAATAAAACGGTGATATCAAAGAATAAACCATGCTGAATTTATCGCAAAGCTTTTCGGGGAAAGTGCGTAACAAATTCAAAGCAGATGCAGGATTTATTTTGTTTTGGAACAATAGAGGAATACGCCGGATTCCTGATTTCCTAGTAGAATTCAGAGAATACGCATGAGTACCGTACTTGTTCCAAAATGTAAAACTTTTAATCTTTGCTTTGAACGTTGCAAAATTAATTTCTCAAGTGCACCTTTATCCAAGAACGAGAAATACACATTTTTCTCAAAATATTCATTCTAAATTCTATGCCTTCGATGCCACTGTGAAATCATTAATGATTCCAAAGACATCATTATAAAAGGGTTTGGGGGCGTTTTTAATACACTTGTCCGCACTAAAAGATAATCGGAAATTGTCATTGATCATTAGTCGGCAAGTCGCGAATGACGGTGAGGGTAATTAGCGATGCACAAGTAGCAGATTTTTCTCTCATTATCCACGATAGCGGAATCGGGTGGTTTGAAGATTAAAAAGAAAAAAAAACGGTGGAAGACAGGAACTGAACCAGACAATCCTTTGGGATTATCTAATTACCTCATCTGCCCCACTTTCAGCTCAAGATACTACAGTATTTGAAAGATGTAAGAAATCAGATTAAGCGCGGGAATCGTGTAGGTAGCGAGACGATGGGTGACACTTCGAGAGGTATTCAACGAAATGAAGTTGCGAAAGAAAGAAATGCTTTTTATGGTTTCGAAAAGATATGAAGTGGGCTTACCCTTGAAAATTATTTCAGCAAGAGAATTTTGCAGTAAAAAAAAAAAGCTGATACAGTAGGTTAATTGAGTTCACATGCGCGAGTTGAAAAAAAAGCTGCATCATTCATGACTCACGAGATAACCATCACTATGGATGCTACTCTTCAAACAACTCATATTTCATCGTTTCAAAAATAAAAATGAAAAATAAACCTCGCACGTCGTCCATGCTTTCATAGGAATGAAAGAAAAGGCTTGTTTTTCCGTCATTGCAGCGGACAAAGAGAAGCACATCAACTAGGAAATCTCAGAAACGATGGCTCACATTTCAAGCTGGACACAAGAAGAAAAAAAAAAAGACGGGAAAGTATCGGCAAAAAACGCATGTATGGGTTACCCACAGCTTCATTTGAATCTCAAAAGATAACTTCTTGAGGCTTTACTTCGGACACAGACACAGCGTGGTTTCTCTGCGGGGGACAGAGTCCTCTGTATGGGAACACTGAACCAGGCCTACGCAAAGTCTTTAGGAGCGAACACGATCGGACTCACGCTCACTGTATTGACTTTTCCGCAGGCAATTGTGTACTCAGACCGCGAAAATAAATAAAAAAATCACTCGGGCATTTTGCCACAAGTCATTCGTGTACTCAACAAAATATTAGATAAAGAAAGTTGAAACCACAAGACTTGCGTAACAGAACACACAGTTTTGGTTTATGTAGAATACGCATCCCCATTTTTCTCTCAAGACGACAAGAAGTTCGTCACGGCGGCAATGAGAGAAATATTTGTATTTCTTTCAGAGATAAAAGGTACATTCAAAGATATACGTACACACGTTGAAGAAAAAGCCTCGATTTTTCGTCCCATATCATTTTGTGCATTACTCGACGTTCAATGGTTTTAATCTTTCACATAATACAGTATTTTAAACCAGTGCATTTTTATTATTCGTATTTGTGTTAGCATACAGTAAATCAGCTTGGAAATAATACTCGATGGAAGGTTGCGATTTTCAAATTTGTTTGAAAACATTCACGCAAAAAGTCTGGTAGTTGAGCGCGCATCTAAATTAATGGGTACCAATAAGCCAGGAAACCTTTTCCCATCGCCCAGAATAACATTTAAAATTAATTTTAAACCGTTTCAAAATTGTTCTACAACTATTATTCCGGTTCCTGAGTCTAAAAAAAAACAAAACAAAAGCTACGGCTTATTCAACGGTCGATTCTAATTTTTTTGTCAGACAGAAAACATTATTTTTTACGTTCACAGAAAGGGCGGCAGCCAGGCCAAATGTTTCTTCGTGCAAAAATTCAAAAATTCGAGTTTGACAAAGGTTGGAAATTTGCTAGAAAATTCGGCCCTGAAGTCTTCTGAACCGCGAGAAAACATCTGTGATACTTTTTTTTCATCCAAAAGGAATGACTAACGAGTCTCTCAAAGACAAACATATGACTCAAATGTGTTCCACATTGCCTCAGCAGATCTTCAGCGTAAAATACCCCTAATTACTAAAAAGAAAAAAAAAGTACAGCTGCAGCAATACAGTTAAACAATAAGGAAAATACAGCAAGTTTCCTCGTTCGATCAAGCCACCTGCAACATAAAGTTTCCGTGTAGAAAACCATTTTCTGTAGATTCAGCCAGAAATTCTCCAAGTTTACGATGCAAAGAATGCGTCTCATCGCAAGAGCAAGTGTCGGGGGAATTTTAAGAATGAATTTCAGGCCCTGTCGGGTCCCTCTCCCACGCATTTCCCCTGGGGCCGGCGATGAGAGGGGAATGAATGAATTACGAGACCCGGCTAATGGAATAACGATGACGCCCGTTGATCTCTTTCCCTGGCTGTTGGGGCCTCCACTATATATATATATATATGCATATACAGACTGGTACGAGGATAACCCGAGCCACTCGGGAAAAAAAATATCGCATTCTTCCTCACGCCTATGGTTTTTATTATGATGCGATTCCCATCCTCTCATTCTCGCCCACGCCGAGAAGATACTCCATCTCCTCGCACCCAAGAATGATTGGCGTTGGCTTTGCGCTGTTCCGGGTCACCTTAGAAGAGAAAACCTTCTGGCGTTACTCTTCGATTAAATTTTAGCGTGCTCTTTTTATTTACGTTTGGTGTAATGTAATTTTTTGGTAAACACTTATATGAGTCCACCCCCGTTAAACCGCCCCCCGATTAACCGCCACCCTCTGTTCCCACCAACTTTTCCTCCCAAACAAATCTCCCTAAGGTTGAAGCTAAAGGAGACCCCCGTTAAACCGCCAACCGCCATCCGCCAACATTTTTTTCAGAACAAACAGGATCTTTGTATTGTTTTTTACCCCCATAAACCGCCAATGTTTTTTCCTCCCTCCAAGGCTTTCCTCTTCCAAATCAAACCGAAACGCGACAAGGCCCAGTGGAATCTTCTCTTTTGGAAGACCGCAATGAGAAGCTAATTTAAAATCGCACGAGAAAAATAAATGCAAACCACATTACATTAAAAAACCATTTGTGAATATACGACGTATGCATACTCATAAGCGTAAGAAACACCCTTATGACGCGCTATTCCAGACTATTTTCCAAAAAATTATAAGACGTGTTTTGTTCCATGAGAAACGCAGTAGTAAGACTAATTTTCCGAATACCTGTCCCAGAATTTCAAGGTGAGAAACGCAGTTGCATCGATTTGACAGCCCACACAGCGCAATTTCTAGAAAGACAACACCACGCGAAATACAGTATACACTTTTTTTTTCAAAACTCAAGCAATGCCGCCATTGTTTCATTCCTTAGAATATAATATATTCCATCCATTTCTACTCAATCTTTTTGCAAAACGAAAGAGTCACGTGCTGTGATAAAGAAATAACTTTGAAGGCTTTTGATTTTACAATTCTAAAGTCGACCTTTTTTGCGTGTTCGAGAACTTGAAATGCGTTATTCATGTCCAAATAGAGTTGTTATACCGAAATTTCACCCGTATAGCTAAATATTTCACGGTTTCATTTCCTTTCATCGGCATGAGTTTAAGTGACATTTACGCAAAGAAAGATCGAACGGAGCAGAATGTCAATGTTGAGAATCCTATCATTTTGGTCGCGTCGAGCTTGATTATTTGTAAGCACTGCAATTTGCGAATGGCCAAGACACATTCTGTTCTGGTTCAAGACAAAGTATAGGCGTTGATGCCAACCCGAGGAGCCAGCGTATTAATTTCTGGAACGAATGCAGATTACCGCCTGGTTTTATAGGCGTTGCCCCGGAAAAATCGTGCAACCATAAGCGGAAGAAACGTTCACTTTGACCAGCGTGAAAATCAGGCTGAAGATTATCATTATTCATTTCCTCGTTCCTCTACATCCCCACCTCTTTAACCCCCCCAGCCCAGACACCCAGCAATTTCTCAAACTGCTCAACGTCTTCATCAGCGCCCTTGTCACCCCCCCCCCCTTTACCCCCCCCCCCCCCCCCCCACGCCAACTACATAGTAAAATTCACAAAAAAATAAAATATATATAGGACGGATAAACCCCAGCACTCTAATCCTTTTCCAGCGATCTGAGAATTATATTTTCTTGTCCCACGCAATCAAGAAGCACGTTCAGTCATTTGTAGACCCGGACCATGCATCTTTCCTTCATGGCCCTCAGCGGGATTGCAATAGATATGCGTTCAACGCCTCCAAGCAGAATGAAAAAAAAATCAAGCATCAGAAATGAGGCGATTAAAATTCAGCTATTTAACCGACATCAAGACCCTCCAGGATTTATAGGTTAACGCGAATAATTAATTCCGTTGCTATTTCTACTCCGGTGGAAATCCTCTTTCATAAACAAAACGTTTAGAACGATATTTAAATAATCAAAATCCTGTCAAACATCGAGTTTAATTAATCCGTGGAAAAATACGTAAATTTTGTCAAACGGATCAAGAAACATAAAAATAAAATTTCTGTACGATGCTGCTCAGAAAATTTAAACAAATCTCATTTTTTCGATAGAGATACTGATTCCCTTCCTCATGAAAAATTTCTGTTTATCAAAATGCGATCCACTGCACCATCGCTCAATTTGTAAATCGAATATTTATCAATTGAGGACGTTTCGTAATCCCTGCCATGTATACGATTATCTAATTTGTGATTCGAAATTAATAACAGATCAAAATTTCAATGAAAAATTTCGAAAATGAGAAAATAATACGAACCTATAAAAATACAAGATCACGAGGTTCATTTAAAATTTAAAGCGCCGAAAATTTCCACGTAGTTTTCGTTTGATCGTCTAGGGAGGAATAAAAATGTCAAAATGATTAAATTATTACCTGGAGAACGAGAAAGCCATGATCAATCGCATCGGAGATTTCTGTTCTCGAAGCATCTGACTCATAAGTTGAATCCAGACCTTGAAAAGGAACAGGTGGCAAAATACAAGGCTTCTTCGGGAAAGGTACCGGCATTTTTCATACTGTACTGTTTTGTGCCACGAACAAAATAGTATTCATTATGACCAGGTTAAAAGTTGGACCATATTGAATGCTTTCAAAGAGAAAACGAATCGGTCCAAGCAGTGTTTAAAACCTGAAGGAACATTTTCAAAATCGATTGAGAAACAAATATAATTCCGTGTCAAAGCTTGAGAGTATCTCCTACATTACCTACAGTGCCTATAACCTTAAATTGGATTTTTAAAATTGCGAACGTCAAAGACCTTTATGGAAGATTAATGGGTTCCATTTGTTTTTCTTAAAAATTATCATGAACCATGACAATCTTCTTTCTGCGGGTCCCTAAAGTCAAATAAAAGACATCTGTGATTTTGCAAGTTCGGTAAACTTAGATTTGTACTACCTTTTTAATTCTATCGTATTCTGTATTCAGGAATTTTTAAACATTTTTGTGTTGGAGGAAGTCACTTAAAATTGAGCTTCAATCTTGATTCCGAGCATCAAGTCATGTTACACCATTAGATCATTATCCTTCAAAACTGAAGACTTAATTTTTATCCGCACTTATCCAAGTGGGGATGGGAAACGTTTTCTTGCATTGCTAACACCTCATTTTCTGTGGAAGGTCACGCAATCGCGAAATGTTTTTCCAATTTAGTTTACCCGAAGTTTCCGTCGATTGTAAATAAATATCAAATAAGTAATGTACGATACTGCGAACCCCCTTTCGATCGATTTCCTCGAAAGGAAGCAATTTTCTTCAAATGAGATTTTCATAATTATTCAGAAGAAAATGTTCCTCGTCGAACTTTTTGCGGTGCAAAACGAGCTTCTGGCTCAGTCTTCATTCTCGTTTATTAAAGCGTCGTCTGATTTTCTAGAATGCGACCGTAAATCTTAAACGACGCACTTTCGATTTCTTCCTGAAGTATAGGAAGCCTTGATTTTCTGCCATAAGGTTTTATTCTTAAGAGGGTTGACGGGTTTTGCTACAGCGATTTTTTTCCGATTTCAGGTCGTGAAGTTCAAAATCGTTTTCCGGAGTTATTTGGCAAGACGCGACCATTTTCACAATACTGAACAACAGCAAATTTTCTTGAGTATCATTTTTCTAAGGAACGACTGTCAGTTTTTTATCCATTTTTTGGTGTGACACCGCACGTCTTCGGGTTCAGAGGATTTCGAATCATGTGCACCCAAGCTTCTTGTAATGCAAAATTTTAACCGCTCCGGAAAAAAGTGGATAAAACAAATTTTGGGCGTTCCAGAGTAAAAATATATACCAAAGAAGATCTGAGAATGGAGTACACATATCTGCGTTAGTTTGCAGCTGTGAGAACGGTTGATGTGTCGTGTTGAATTTCGGTTTGAAGTTCACGATCTGAAATCGGAAATAGTTGAGCAGGAAACTTGTCTAAACCCCCTTTGCGAATCAAAGCTTTCGGCAGAATATGCAGTACACAGGATTCAAATACAGGTGAACCTTGATAACTCGAACCTCCCTAAGTCAAATACTCGCCTAAGTCGAATTTTTTTTTTCAATATCCCCATCTGAATCCCCTTAGTAAAATAGATTAAAAACCTCCTTAAGTCGAAAGCTTTTCCCTCAAACCTCCATAAGTCGAATTTTCTGTGGCCTGTCAGCCATTATTTTCTTCTCACAAGAAAGATAAAAAGCAATAAAAACATAAAAATTTATGGGTTTTAAAGGAAGTGAAAGACTTATTTGGGCAAATGAACCCCAGCCTCCAAGTTCAGCAGACTTTTCAACTCATTTTCAAAGCCTTAAGCCCCAGAATATCACCATTTATATTCTTCCAATTTTCAGCCTGTAAAATTCGGCACGTCCCTAATAAGTCGAATTTTTTCAGGAGTCCCTTGAAATTCGACTTGGAGAGGTTCGACTGTACAGTACACATATTCGAGCGCGCTGCTTGAATGGCCCGGGCGCACGAGGGTAATCCTCCGGACAAGTGAGCAGCGGACGCGCATTTAAAAATGGGGCAAGTCAGGTCAAGCATGACCTCGGGTGGGAACGATGAGTGACGTGGAAAAAAAAGGAGCTCACCTTGATGTCCATGTGTACGATATGCCGGTCGTGCATGTACCCCAGTCCGTCCAGGATTTGTCGCATGAACCGTGCCACGTCCGACTCAAGCGGGACCTGGTCTTCGTCAAGCACCGACTGGAAGTCACCTCCTGCCGCACTGCACAAATCACAAAAATATTTTAATCGTCGTCATCTAACCAATAAATGATTTTATACGCCAGTTTTGAGAGTATTTTCCAGGTATGGTGACGACTTCGACGACACAGAAGTGAGAGAGAGAGAGAGAGAGAGAACATCCGCCACCTCCATGTAAGTTTCTGTTACTATAACAGATGGACCCTTGTCAACAACGATCTTGTCTACAACGATTTTCTCCGCATACAGATTTTTTTTAACTTTCCATAGGGTTCTTTTCCCATGTTATAGGGGTTCTCAACAAAGAAATTCCATCCAGAACGAATTTTTCTCGGCTTCCTTTGAAATTCGTCGTATACAGTGACTCCATCTATATATATATATATAATGTAGTGAACATTTTTTACTCCTTGGGATTAGCTAATACAGTACGTTTAAAACATCCAGGCTTCTGGCTCATGTGTTGATCGCCTCATTATCCGACGGATTGAACTCACACCAGGGGTTCAGAGGTATTTTTGTTGTCAATCACTATACTCGTCTCAGATGTATGCAGCTATTAATTTTTGCATGATCGCTTAGTGGCCCTGAAGCATATTTCTAGTCCTCATTCTGAAATAATTCCGAGTTCATATCTCAATATCTTCATGTTCATATATATTCATGTCTCAGCTTCCGACTCCCACGACGTCGACCACCTCACCATTGAATAAATTAAAGTCGCTTACCGGAAGTTGAAATACTTCTTTTATCTCTTGTCTACGACTTACGAATAATTGCTGCGCACAGGATACGTTGGCTAGTTGACGCACATTTCTTATCCTCAATCTCGACTGCTTTGTATTTGCTAATTACAGTATCATTATTCATTGACTTCCGAGGCCTACGCTGATCATGCTGTCATGGAACACCACTAAAAAAAACATATCTTTACCTTCATTACGCCTCTTACTTCATAAAATAACGTCCGCCTCATATTACAGGAACGCATGACCTTTCGTGTGAAAGCTCAACTTCTTCAATGCGTTTCACTTTTTCGGATTTCTCAGGATGCTTTGCTTGAAAAGAACTCCCTCATTGTTTCCCCTTTCAGACTAGCGCGGGTATTACGGTACTGTATAAGCATTGCTCAAGAAACCCCAAGATTTTCACGGATTTGAGCGAGAAATCGAACTTAAAATAACCTCGGGCATGACCGGAAATTTTGCGTGGCTTATCCGATATTGAGGAAAATAGAATAGTATCCTGAAAACGTTTTATTCGAATTGTTTTACATTAATGGGAAAAAAAAATTATCGAAAACCGTGACGTGCATCAGCCAGGATAAATAGACTATTAAAATAACTACTATACCGGACAAATTGGTTTCTCTGAGTGAATTTGAATTTTGGCATAAGTAATTGAATTCACTGATGAATGCAGTTCGACCGCACTTGAACGAAACATACTAGAATCTGCTTACACTTTGGGCTAACGAAGATAAGTTCAGCTAGACAATTGACTAAATATTTTAGAGTCGATGAAAAAGTATTTTTATAATCAGCACTTATTCCGAAAAAAATATATTCGAGATCTGATTCAAAACTGCCGATCCGTAAAATCGACTCGCCGACGCTTTCGAAAGAATGAACCCAGTGAACTCCACTTCTTCCCTTTTGATCACAGATTAGAGTGAATATAAAGGGGCTGTACTTTGAGAAACTAAGAGCCTTTCATGATTCTTCTCCGAGAAACGAATTCAGTTTAGAACTATTGATCAAGCTGCGCGAGTAATATATACAGTACAACAAAAATGAATGAACCTGGGTAAAATCAGTGTCTGATAAACTAAGACTTCGAGCGACATGCGTTCATTTGTCAAATTGTGTTCAAAGGTTTTCCTGGATTACACGTTGAAGGAGCAGAATAAACTCAGAAAAAGAGGTACGGGACCTCGTCAGGCAAAAAAAAAAAGAAAGCGCACAAATTTCAAACTGGAGAAAAATCGGAGGCTTGCGAGGAACAGAACGCTGCTATCCTCGAAAAAAAAATTTCTTGTTCAACAAATACCGCATTGCTGCCCTAGCCTAAATGAAACAAAATTGAGAAAGAGGAAAGATGACGAAGTACAGTTACAGTCGCGTATTACAGGAAGTAAGACGGAAGAAAGCCAAAGATCTGGTTCAGTAAAACAAAAAGGAAAGAAGGATGCATGTTCAATGTGGGATCGAAGGAGGAGGAAAAAAATAATAATAAATTAATAAATAAACGAAAAAAGGAGTCGCAACTCACTATTCGAGGATGAGGACGACTCGGTCCTTTTCCTGGTAGATCTCGTACAAGCGGATCATGCGAGGACACGCACGACAAGCGTCGAGAATCGCGATTTCGTGCAAAGCGCCGGAAGTGATGATGCTTTCGCTTGTTCCGAGGCGACGCAGGGTCACGAATTTCCCTGCGTAGTAAGCCCCAGTGTCCTTGCGTCTGCACCTGAACACCTCGCAGAAGTTCCCACTGTAAAGCAATGCAAAAAAACAAAAGAACAGAGATTAATACAGCGGTGTCAGAGATAAATACAATACTGTACAACGAAAGCGCATTTTCATTGAAGAATACTTCGGGGTTGCAATATCAGGGAAGCTGAAATATCTACACGCATTCACTCAAACCCTTTCCTCTTAAAAATTTAGGGCGAACGTCATCCTTGAACATGAATTTTTACAAATTTTCGGAGCGCATTATAATTTAACACGTTCAGTGAAGTTCAAATGAAAAAATTGAGACTAGCATAAGTAAAAATGTATTTTTAGGCTCGAAAAAAACTGGCAGAGGAGCATGTGGAACGAAAACAAATGCAGTACAATAGTATTGCATTTGATTGAGATTTCATTAGATTTCAAATTTTAGCGCTGATTTCCTCAAGTAAAGGGATTTTTGCGTCACAAAAAAACCGGGTTGCCCTAATTCAATTGACAATCAAACCACACGTGAGGAAGAATCACATTCAAAGTACAGTATGTCTTTGGCCATAATCTATTGACGGGGCATCTACTTAAGATATAAAAATATCGGACAACATTGATCTGGATTCTGGATAGCCTGAGCAGAAATAAAGATGAAATTCTCATCGAAAGCATTGATTCTTCCCTATAAAAACTCACTTTTTTCTAAGAAGGCAAAAAACCGAATGATGGTCTATTAACATCATAGGCAGCGCAATGAGAATCAATTTTGAGCTAAAAATTGATTCTGATTGCGATCATCTTCATTTAAGTCGTTATCGTGGTTTAAAAAAACATAAAAGTCGCATCCACGACGTCTCTCGATCTCTCACTTCCATTTATTCGCGATTACTACGGATTTGTTCTATTCTCCTCCTTTTTCTTCGTATTCCTGTTTCCACCTTATTCCAAAAAGCAAAGCCTTTTCCGTGTTATCAATTTGTTCGCTATCGAGTCCGGGTTTTACTGAATTCATCATATCACAAAGTCGCCGCATGAGAAAATGACTTTTTCGAACGCGAAGAAGCGGCTAAATGATCAATCCTGTATCTACAAATGATGAAGATTTGATAATGAAAAATTACCCTCCGCTCGTGAATACTCGTAAAACTACTACCAACCGCACAGGAAAAAAAAGGAATCAACGGCGTAAAACGCAGCTGCATGATCACTGCATTCGCTTTCGTTATGCAATCCATTCAAGTCAGTTATACAACAGATCTTCCCGGGAAGGAAATTTCTTTCAAAAGTATCCAAAATTTCGATTTTGTCATTGCACGACTATAAATCTGCAGAGGCAACAAAAACAAGGGCGCAAAAAGAACAGGTATATCGGATCAACAATAAAAATAGGATCATCGCTTCTGATCGGAAGGTGTCTCTTTTACAAGGAAAACTTGAGCAATTAGTTTTATTCAAAATAGTGAACGGTTTAAAATAAGAGTCGGCAAAGCCTTGAACATGTTGCATTCCGCGAGGAGGATAAAAAAAAGGGGGATCGGAACGTGGAGCTGGTTGCAACTTCATAAAAGCAAGGAAGATAGACACTTTTTTTTAGATACTCCACGTATAAGCATCGAAGCAAAAAGGTTGAGCCAAACGTCCTATTCGAATAATACGATCCCTTCGAGACTTCACAAGAAAACCTTTTTTTTTTTTAATCAGCTTCACATATTTTAATGTAGCCACTGAATTTCGCAGCCACTCAGAATTATATTCTCGGGAGAAATTTGGACATTCATTAAAATTATAGGAAGGCTAAGTGAAAGATAAGAGTTGGAATTTCAAGCAAGCTATACAAATACAGTATAGTGTGCATGCAGCTAAAAAATGTTCGAAAACATTTTCAACTCTCAGAGAGAAGAATCTCTTTCAGAAATGAATCACTTTTACAATAAACTGCACTCGTCAATTCCAAAAATTACAAACGTAATTTATGATACAATTATTGTAGCTCAAATGTGTGCTTCCAGAGGCTTACAACCCTGTTCCCATCTACGTTCTCGACTTGAGAGGAAGTCGCAGTTAAAAATTTAAAAAAAAATTTTTAATTCAACAAGTGATGGTACATTTCGATTCATTTCTCTCGTGCCAATAAATCAACAAACAATCAGAAATTGAAAGAAAATGGTTGAGATTTTAATGAGTCTGGTGACTCGTCGTGCTGAAAGCATATTAGCGTGTCCGAAACTTTGGACACAACTCATCGACATTCATCTTCAATATTGCAAAACATCCAAAGATTCGAAGATGGATTACAAAAAAATATACTTTATATAACGACGAAAATTATTTTGAGAACAAAGTGACCCGCGTGCCAGCGTTGCAGAAAACCTTCGTCCCTTCCTTGTCAGCTAATAAGACAGGGTTTTAAGAAGAAAAAAAAAGGAATTTATACGAATGTTCGGTATCTTTGTCATTTAACTGTCCTGGATCCGCCCACGGATTCGACACTGGAACATTGGGAAGAAGCCGACAGTCAGCCTGAGTCGTCATCGTCATCGTCGACCCAGTCGACGTCGCCCGGGCTTGGGAACCTCAAAGGGAGCCGCCGATCGACGCCGTGGGTATCTCTTTTATTTGCCCCCTCGTCTTCATTATGCCACAGGGAACGACGCCGGATCACACATTACGCGTTACCTATGTCTCCAGCGGGGGCCTCAGAGATGATGCTGACGATTGATAAACGCATACATACGTTGATTCCTGCGAAGAGATTAGCCGAAAGAGAGCGAGAGAGAAAAGGAGGACCAGGGTTGAATAAGAAAAAAAAAAGAGCTGGCAGCTGCGCACGCTGTCACTTGGTTGACATCTCCCTCGTCACCCCACTCAAGCCACGACGATGACGCATCCGTGGCTTGCGTCACGGATGTCTTAAAATGGGATCCGTATCTGACAATCCCTCAAGGAATTCTTCTATTCCACGTTAAACTTCATCGCTAGGAATGGATCCGAAATACGTATTAGCTCTGATTCAATCTGAATGACAAGACAGCAGATTCGTCTGTTTTTCCAAACCCATTTTCGTTGAGCAGAGGTTTCTCGTCCATGAATTCAAAGAGTAATACCTTTAATCTACAGTACAGTTTATCGAAAGCGTGTGACATCACTTTATTAAAATAAAACTGCCTGGGAATTCTGTAGGGGATCCCAGCACCAAATACAGACGCACGATCATTTCCTCCAGTCGCAGTACTCGACAGAGACGTCGCACTAACGGCAGAGAAACAAGACATATCTTGTAAATCTAAAAATAGGACATAATAAGTAAGCCAGTACGCTATAAACAGACATAGCTTTGAATATGAACCAAACCCCAAAAATAAACAATATACTTATCTTTCTAGCTAATTTCCATAACATCCTCAGGATTTTTAAACGGTTCTATCTATCCTCAGGTTCTCTAATGAACTCCTCAGTCTCAATTAGTATTTCCTCACTGACGGCAGTTGTTTTAGTCTTTTCGATCCCCATTATCATAATTAGTCGCTTAGAATATTCACAAAAGCATCGATTGTAATTTTATGAATTTCACTGAGCTTGTAATTTGACGAAATATTTCTGCGATTTTACGAAAACATAGTACGTATTTGAAACGCTTCTACAAATCGTAAAGACAAAATCGAATTTATCACTCTCCCTGATTTTCGCTATCCGATTTTTGTGGAAAAATAGCACGATTTCAAGTAAATCTTGCACAGTACTGTATTTCCGGGTTGCGCAGAGCAGAAATTTTATTTCCATCGATGAAAATAAATATTGCTGCTATACCCACATGATGAAACCAGACCTCCGTGATGACAATCTATTGAATCGCCTTTTATAATACGCACTAAATTACTGAACTGCTAAAACTACTGCCTCATTACCGAATGACGCAACCTGAATTTTGTGAGGATCGACGCAAAAACGAAAAGGTAAGGAACACTCAAGTGAAAAATCGACTTGTGATTTCAAGCAGGTATTTACGATGAGTTGGAACATCCAGTGAAACAGTTTCGAATTTACTGTAAGACTAATTTTCATTGACTGACTTCTGTAGGGAAAGAGGCGCATTTTCAATTACCGCACATGCTTTGGCTTTTCCGGTTTGAAAAGCTACAAAAATGCCTCGTTACCCCAATGACGAAACTCAAATTTCGAGAGGAAATTGAATCGACGCAAAAACGAGAAGGAAAAAAAAAAGCTCAAGTGAAAATTCCACCTGTGATTTCAAGCAGGTAGACACACACGAGTTTGAAACGCCATCGCATGTACAGTACAGTGAAACAGTTACAAAAATAATGCATACATAATGCTCTTTGGAGGGCATTCCTAGAGGAAAAAGCGGGTACAATAGGTATTGTGGCATTTCCGATGTAAAGGTTTAAAAAAAAGTCTCGTTACCCAAATGAAGAAATGAGCCAAATTTCGTGAAAGTACTAAATGGTCGAAATAAAACTGAAATAAAAAACGAAGACAAGAAAAGAAGAAGCATCATGCGCAGCAGCAGCCAATCGACAGCCACAACGGGGACTATGGTTGACGCACACGCAACCCCGCCGCGCGGGACCCAAAGGGGGGTTCGGTCGCCACCGTCACACATCACACAGCAGCGGCTGTGAGATNGCATCCGTGGCTTGCGTCACGGATGTCTTAAAATGGGATCCGTATCTGACAATCCCTCAAGGAATTCTTCTATTCCACGTTAAACTTCATCGCTAGGAATGGATCCGAAATACGTATTAGCTCTGATCCAATCTGAATGACAAGACCGCAGATTCGTCTGTTTTTCCAAACCCCTTTTCGTTGAGCAGAGGTTTCTCGTCCATGAATTCGAAGAGTAATACCTTTAATCTACAGTACAGTATATCGAAAGCTTCAAGGATTCCTGCTTTCATTCTAGGGCTTCAGTTCTGATGGATTTTCTGCAATCGTTGCTAATCCTTCGTTCAGTGTTTCCTTGCAAGAATAAATGCGGCATTGCAAGCAAAAAAATCAGCCCCACATATTTTTTCATGATCTGTTTCCGCAAATACAACGAATTATCTAGAATCTCCACGAAGGTATACATTTGAATAGCCCAATTTTAATGATTTCATTTTTTCGAAGGTAGAAAAAACGTTATTTTTTCCTCTTACATGTTTTTCTCAAAGCCATGCAAACTCAATACATCAGCACACTTGAAAGACCAACTCCTTTTATTTCAAATGATACGATGGGTTCGATGCAATGAGCTCTCAGTGCCCCAATATTTCATCAACCAATGCATTGCGTATTAGTGCGGTTCGTGCTGTAATCGGGTCTCATGAAAACAATGAAATGAATATCCCAAAATTTCTCACAACGGCAATTCCACTTGTGTTACTTTGAGAAGCAGATTGATGGTTGAACAAGGCAGTTGAAAAATGTACGGATCTGTTACCCGTTTTCCGTTAAATTTTTGGAAAGATTTTATGCAGAATTGAAGCGTGTGACATCACTTTATTAAAATAAAACTGCCTGGGAATTCTGTAGGGGATCCCAGCACCAAATACAGACGCACGATCATTTCCTCCAGTCGCAGTACTCGACAGAGACATCGCACTAACGGCAGAGAAACAAGACATATCTTGTAAATCTAAAAATAGGACATAATAAGTAAGCCAGTACGCTATAAACAGACATAGCTTTGAATATGAACCAAACCCCAAAAATAAACAATATACTTATCTTTCTAGCTAATTTCCATAACATCCTCTGGATTTTTAAACGGTTCTATCTATCCTCCGGTTCTCTAATGAACTCCTCACTCTCAATTAGTATTTCCTCACTGACGGCAGTTGTTTTAGTCTATTCGATCCCCATTATCATAATGAGTCGCTTAGAATATTCACAAAAGCATCGATTGTAATTTTATGAATTTCACTGAGCTTGTAATTTGACGAAATATTTCTGCGATTTTACGAAAACATAGTATTTGAAACGCTTCTACAAATCGTAAAGACAAAATCGAATTTATCACGCTCCCTGATTTTCGCTATCCGATTTTTGTGGGAAAATAGCACGATTTCAAGTAAATCTTGCACAGTACTGTATTTCCGGGTTGCGCAGAGCAGAAATTTTATATAAATATTGCTGATATACCCACATGATGAAACCAGACCTCCGTGATGACAATCTATTGAATCGCCTTTTATAATACGCTCTAAATTACTGAACTGCTAAAACTACTGCCTCATTACCGAATGACGAAACCTGAATTTTGTGAGGATTGACGCAAAAACGAAAAGGTAAGGAACACTCAAGTGAAAAATCGACTTGTGATTTCAAGCAGGTATTTACGATGAGTTGGAACATCCAGTGAAACAGTTTCGAAATTACTGTAAGACTAATTTTCATTGACTGACTTCTGTAGGGAAAGAGGCGCATTTTCGATTACCGCACATGCTTTGGCTTTCCCGGTTTGAAACCGATGTTTTTACGGAGCAATGGGGTTACTGCTTTGAGTTTAAAGCTCTCCTTTAACTTAGCTGCGTTTTTGCTCTTCCTTTTTTTTTTCGAGTTCACTTTTAAGGTGGACACTAAAGTTCGTCCATCACACACACGAGTTTGAAACGCCATCGCATGTACAGTACAGTGAAACAGTTACAAAAATAATGCATACATAATGCTCTTTGGAGGGCATTCCTAGAGGAAAAAGCGGGTACAATAGGTATTGTGGCATTTCCGATGTAAAGGTTTAAAAAAAAGTCTCGTTACCCAAATGAAGAAATGAGCCAAATTTCGTGAAAGTACTAAATGGTCGAAATAAAACTGAAATAAAAAACGAAGACAAGAAAAGAAGAAGCATCATGCGCAGCAGCAGCCAATCGACAGCCACAACGGGGACTATGGTTGACGCACACGCAACCCCGCCGCGCGGGACCCAAAGGGGGGTTCGGTCGCCACCGTCACACATCACACAGCAGCGGCTGTGAGATCGGAATCGGTGCACATCCGGGGCTAAACGTCTCCCGTGGGGGCCCCTCATTATGCCGCTTATGGGCATCATCGCCGGGGTTATAAAGTCGCCCCGACGGCCCCCCGACGCTGCTCGTGAAATCACCAACAACTGCCTGCCTTGCCTGCCTGGTCGCGCGCAGATAACGAAGCCCGCGGAGACGCCAGGAGATTTATGTACGGCGACGTCGGCCACAACCCATCAGCCTCCTCCTCCTCCTCTTTCGGCGACAAGCATTTTGAGTCTCTATACTCGCATTCCTTTTCTATAAATCTACCAAGTGATAACCCCCCTCCCCTCAGGGTTTTGATCACAAAGTTCGAAAGAGAAGTTTCAGTACCGCAGTAAATCAAATACAGTACATAGATGACGTCATCGATTAGAAGACGCGCCCGCATTGCATTCAATTTTCTCGGGAGTCAGAGAATTATATTTACTATACACTGTACTTCGACTGCATACAGCCCTAGTATTAACAAAAAATGATGATATTTCACCGAATAAAAAAAATTTCTTGAGCGTCCGAACTCCATATTAGTTA